GTTTCCTCTACTCATTACACACAGTCACTTCATCCTTTGTTTACATAAAACTATTGATTAGTCCAGCTTTTCGTAATGGATACTTTACTACCACCACTATGGAACAGTAGTATGTTTATCTATGAAACGTTACCAGGCCTTTACACTATGTCGATTACTTTCTTATTCATCTCTGTTATAGTGTCAAAAAGTCATCCTGTGTCTTTTTTTTCTGAGCTCACTCTGAAGCAGCTTGTCCTTGCACTCCCACTCACGCAGGCCATCTGTAAGGCATACTGTAAATTAATGAGCGCCCCCTCACCCCAGCCGTGAAACATCATAGAAATCCTCCCACGGAGCCTCCCATAGGTAGAGACACACACATACAACATCCATCCCATTACCAGCAGCCCTACATATCCAGGCAGACACATTTTCTTAATGAGGTGGAGCCCCTTCCCCCTAAGTGACATGTGTAAGTGTCAGCGGGTGCAGAATTTACATGAAGAGATCGCATGCATGCCCACATAGCCCTCTCCCCACACACACACATACATACACATGCAATCATACATCGAGACTGACGAAGCGCATGCTGACACACTTGCACATCCTGCACTCTCACATGCCCCCCCTCCCCGATGATTAGAAAGTGGGTCAAGGACAACTTTCTACGAGGGCAATGAGAAAAAATGAAATCTGCCATGAGAGACTGACTCTGGCTGCAGCACAGAAGAAGTTCCCAGAGTACGTATGATGTATAATCCGAGGAGGCAAAGATGTGATAATAAATAGCCAGGGGCTGGATGATTGGGAGGAAACTTCTAGAGCAGACAGTGAGTTCTGTCCATGATGCACTTAGAAAAGTATTCAATGAGGCTTGATGAATCGAACGTGCTGCCCCATCTAATGAACTCTTCGGAGTTAATTGAGTGTGTCCGTTTTTCATTTGGTTGATAAATAATATCACTGATATTATATTGGTAATCAGTTCACTGCTCCCATCGGTTGCAGTAAACAACAGTACTTTTGAAAGTAGTTCCGTGTTTAGTGTTCGTGTATTTCTTAGTGCTGCCACAAATACTTTTTTTTCCTGAAGATTCTCTGCAGCACAACAAATCAGTTCATGTGAAGCAAAACCTGGACCTCGAAGGAGGAATATTCACACGATTTCCTCTCTCTCTCTCCAGCAAACTACATCTACATTTTGCACAGAAAAGAAGCAAAAAAAATACTCCTCCTTGATATTCTCATCTCTCAGAGTGATTGTGATTCAGACCGTCAAGCAGCACATCCTCCCGTCTCCAACGCATCATCTCGCACTGCAACACTCTCAGCAGCTCTTATGACATTGCACCGGAGAGCTCGGCTGGCAATAGAGCCGGGCCCTGTTCACTCCACCCGTCCTCTAATAATACTTGTCCCCAGAGGACTGAAGAGGAGAGGGGTGGAGGCAAGAGCACAGCCGCCCGACCAGTCTGCCAGCGCCGGAGTTCCCTCCTCGCTGCAGCTGCAGTGGTAGCCTCTGCCGCAGTGATGAGGGGCGAGGAGAGAGGGGAGGGGGGGGAAAGGTGAACCGGTGGCAAGCGAGAGATGGGGTGAGGTAGAAGGAGGAAGGTGCTGATGATGTGTGTAAACACCACCTCCGTGCCAAAAATACACCTCCATCAGCAGTATTTTCTGCGCGGACACTAATCAGGTCCACTGTGCTCAGGTGTGGCTTCATGAGGGCTCCCTGTCCATTGTTTCATTAGAAGTGTTTGCTGAGCCGTGTGATCTAGGACAGGGCTTGAGAGAGGCGATTAATAACTCTGAGCATGAAGTCTTCGGGGCCAACTTTGAAAACTGTGCCACTTCTTTGACGAGGAGGGGAGGGAGGAAGGAGCCGGAGGGGCTTCTAATAAGGACAGTGAGGTGAGTGTTTTGGTGGCTTGTGCACGTGTGTTTGCATGGATGCATCTAGAACAGTGCATTTAAAGTCTGTCGCAATAATATCAGTGCATTCCGTCCGTCCTATTATTCTTTGTCTTCATTCTATTTGGGGAATAATCATGATGCCATGCTTTGGAACTACAGTTCCCATAATGCTTTGGGGGATGTTAACAGGAAGTATAATGTTGACATGGATTCAAAGAGTTACACTGTGAGCAAGTTGAGCCCCTTTATTTTTAGCATCGGAGATAATGACATCGGCGACAATGATATCCTCAGAAAGAGTCATCTAAAAATGTGTGTATTATGTCTGTGTCTTTACAGACATGTTAGCAGCTCCAACTGCTGACCGTGTTGGTAAACGGGACAAATCCGTGGGCCAACAGTAAACACAGTATCTTTGCCTCACAGTTTGCAAACCGAGCTGTGTTTGCCCCTCACCTTTGGAGAAGACAGTCGTCCTGGGAGTGACGTCCAGGTCCAGGGACGGGCTGAAGGGGAAGGCCCACAGCTGTGACAGCCTGGCAAGGAGCGTCAGGAGCAGCAGCAGGGGCAGGAGGTGCTGAGCGGAACTCTGGTCTCCCATGTTTAACACGCAGACCTGGGTCCAAGCACTGCCTCACTTGCTGCTCAATTTGTTGGGACACGCAAAATCTGAGAAACGTGTATCTTCAGGCCCAGCAGCAGCAAGCAGATGCAGACTCTTTAATTATCGTCCAGCTGAGAAAGAGAAAAACAACGCGTATAACTGAAAGAGAAGTGATCCAGCAGAGGAAACCAGGGGCTGTTGTTGCTGAGAACAATTAAAAACAAAATGGGAATTTGCAGAATAAACACTCTCTACTGCCTGAGGGGAAATACTGCTATTATTAGTGATATACAGAGGCGTTGTGTTAAAGTCAGTGGTGGAAAAAGTACTCAGATCCTTTAAGTACAATTAATAGTCCTTCATTCACAATCCTACTTCGGTAAAAGTACAGCAGCATCATCAAAAAGTGTACTAAAGTACGAAAATGGCCCCTGTGACTGATACATATGTATAGATATACTATTATATGACATTTAAGGTCGTTAATAATAATAATGCAATTGCTTTATCTTTTTTTTTGGGATTCATTTAGCTTTTTTGTGACATATTGCAGAATTTGAAAATCTAAAAGTTACTTAAATTAAATAATATTGAACTTTGCTGAAGAGCTGAATGAACTTTCTTCCCTTCTTGACAGCATGAGCAGATAATGAGTTGCCGATATGCACCATCGCTCTCTTTTTACAACCAATTAGCCAAAGTGAACGAGTAAAGCACCATGCTGTTACATTAAAGACCATTTAAAAAGTTGTGTGAGTTAAAAAAATTTGCCTCCGCGATGTGATATTGCCCCACACGACTCCATCTCTTAATTGGCTGCGTGCACACTGGAGCAGCATGACGGATAATCTAGAGATTAGGCCCCGTGCCATCAGCTCAATCTCCGCCTGGCTGCCCCGTTCTCCGGCTCTGTCACTGATCAAAGGGTCAACACTGTGAATCCCGCTCCGCCGCATTGTGACACTGGAGAATTCCCAGTTTAATCTCCACAGCTGCTGCTGGTAATCACTCGCAGTGAGAAGCACAGTGAATTAGCAGTGAGGGTGCTAAGCTTTGAAACCGACCTATAAAGTGACAAAGTGAGAGATAAGAAGGGTAAGAGGTAATGATGGTGAGGAGATCCACTCACCTTAAGTTCATCCAGAACTGTTTCTTAAAGCTGGCTTTAGGGTAATGTCTATCCCTTTTTCAAGCCTGATTCTTCATTTTTTATTAAACTAAGTAAAAGTTGTGACAAAATGAAGTTGTATTCTGGTTCCTCATCTTGGCACTTAAGACGAGACACTACAAGCAAAAAACACTGTTTTTCATGCACTGGTCAATTTTGAGATGTTTCTCAAGTCTTCTGAGTCTTCTTCCAGACGAGTGGAAAGAAAACATCCAGAATACACATTTAGGTGTTTATTTTTCTCATAAATTACTCAAAAGTCAACATGTCCTTTGTCAAATAAAGGCAAAAGCGCCCCAAAACAAATCTTGAAAAAAAGAGTACTCGACCGAATGAGCATTGCACATAACATTGTCAATGGACAGTTATTTAAAACAATCCAAATCGATGCAGCAGAACCAGCGATATGGCCCTTTTTATTCCACACAATCTTCTTCCTTGTCTGACTGTAGCGCCTACATTACCCACAATGCAACTCCACCACTGACAGCTGGTTCAGAGATTCAGGTGTGATATGGTGGCAGCTGCTAATGTAACCTCAAGCAGAGATGAGCAGCGGGCTACAAAGGTCTGGTGAGCTCATTTGTTTCTAACTTTCACACCAACAGATTTTTTTTATTTCAAACTTTGTCAACGCCTCGAAAATCACCTTCTACTCAAACTGTGTCAAAGAGGACAGTAGAGCAACCAGACAAGCGGGTACGTTGGTGAGAAACCCTTTGGTGTGGTTTTGTCAGCTGCTGCCTTCATGTCACACACACTGAACACAGCATCATTTCAACACATCTGCATTTGTTCTGTATGCTACAGGAGCAGGCGAGGACGTTGACAGCGTGGTGTTGCCTCACTGATGAAAGCTTGGACGACCGCTGTGTCATGCATGACTGGAGACGAGAGGAATCGGACAAACCAGCAGGTGTGTGTCTGAAATACCTTTTACTATCAGGTACCTCCTGTTTATTGATCTGCAACAGATCAGCTGGGACATTTTAAACTAATTTCAGAGGTAGTCTCATCAAACATCCTGAAATGAAGTCATAACTTGCCTACAGAAGAGGTTTTCCAGAGTATGATGAAGCTGTTTCCCAATAGGAGCATGGTTTGCAAAATACAAAGAGACATTTCTGCAGAAAGATCAATAAAACAGGTGAGCTATTCCTGTATTTCCTTTAAACTGATCCCACTTTAAATGCCAAACGCTCTGCCACACTTGTGATTACTTTTGTGCTAAAGCCATCTACCGACAAATACTGAATAAATATACTTTATTTAGGGCATTATGTATTGTCAGCTAAACTTGAATATGGCATTGTTTTTTCTATCTTTAGCCCAAACCACTGGGAGTTGTCATACAGCTGAGCTGTAAATGAGATTACTCATCACACATTAATGGAAGAATGAGTGGGTTCACCCTGTGGGCTACATTTACTGTGATGTGGAGAAATCTTAACACAAATCTTCTCAAAGAAGCATGAAATTATTATTGTGTCGCAGATTATCTGCCTCTTAATACATTGAAAATATATAGAATTGGAAGAATTGCTGTATAGCTTGACAATATACACACAAATAAGAACATGCCATGATTTATCTGGACTCAAAGATAACAAAGATGGAGCACTTTAGAGACATTTCTTGTTCAGACTGCTCAACATTTATAATGAAATAAATCTTCTCATTGGGAAACTGACTTTGTCTTTCAACTTCTTCTCCATTATATACAAAATCTATATATATGTATTTATTTGGTATTTCCACTTTTACTCAAGTAAAGGATCAGCATCTTCTGACGATAGATTATTAATGGTTTACATCTAATACTAATAATAAGCATTAGACCATTCTTTTATGTAGAGTGAATTATTAGAAAGTAACTAAACTAATCTAATTCAACCAACATGGCATCTCTATCGCATTTATGTCCAAATAAGAGCAAGGATGCATTGCCAACTAGTTTTGATGGTTAAGTTGAATGAACTTTTACAACAAACCAGTGACTCTAAAACAGACTAATCTCCCTCCTTCTTACATTCACCTTCTACCAAGAGTAAGACACGAACACACCTTTAAAACAGAGAATACACATTTCAGGTGTGATTTTCTATCAAACCTTTGACTTTAAGAACAATGCAGTCAGAAGCTTCAGGACTGTTGTGATGCATAATGTGTAATGTGTCCCGGACATAAGCTAACAGTCATCACTTTATTTCACACACACGAATATGCTAAGTAATAAGTAAGTATAATAACACGCTTATATCGTATGTAAAGCAGCCCGCACGCGCTAACGAGCGCGCAAACGTGCACCCATGTGCACCTGTCCGACCTGGACTGCAGCACCGAGAGGGGAAAACAGCGCTGCACATTATTCAACCACCTTCACCTGAGTGTAGATGCGCGCACAGAGAGCGTGCGGGAAGGAAAAGTGGAGGAAACACATTGAAATAAAGAGACCAGTAGAAAAGCAATAGAAGAATAAAACACTGACTCGCCTGTTTTTTTGTTTCCTGGAGTCCACAAATATCCTCTGAGTCGTCCTCTCCGCACCGAGCTGCTCTGCTGCTGCTGCAGTTACCCAATGCTGCTCAAACACAACCAGTCCTCCCCCCACCCCCTCTCTCTCTCTCTCTCTCTCTCTCTCTCTCTCTCTCACACACACACACAGACACATGTATAGCCCGTATTAATGATTATAAATTACAGATCTATATTACTTTTTTACAGGACAAGTTATATGTTTTCATTATTGTCTGTGACTCACTGTTATTGCTGCCTTTCTTTCTTTTTTACCTGGAAGCTCTAATGTAATGAGGCTTTAATAAAGGTTAAATAGTTTTTATAAATAGCACTTAATGAGTAATGAGGGGGTGAAAAAAAACTATTAAGGTGTAATAATGATATCTCAGTGTTGAGTGTAGACAGCTATGAAAAACGTATAGAAATATAACTGCGACATTTTTACTGACACATAAATCGTTGTGAATAACACAACAATTATATTTTTTATTTATTTTTAGATTGCCTGAAAACACTTTCTTATCATTTGGGTTTTATAATGTGTCGTAAATATAGTCTGTGTTGTAGCGGTGATCTGCGCCCTGTGACTGCCCCCTGCTGGAGAAGAGATAAAAAGACACACAAACATGGTCTGGGGCTTTTTCCTGTTTTCTCTACAATGTTTATCGATGTTTAAGTCTTATCAGAAACACTTCAAATAAAAAATATATCAATGCAGATAGTGTTGTGATATCTGAAATACACAAGTGAACAACACTTGAAGTATAGTATAGGATCAAAAGATAATTAACTACATCATATGTATTTTATATTTCCATATCAATACAGCCAAACACTGAGAAATATTACTTAATCATATTATATATTAGTCTGGTGTTGTTAACATGTAGTGCTAAACGTTCTGCTATAAATAAAATCCCATGCTGTCACTCTTGCCTTGACATTTTTATGGTTTTCATTTATACTTCTATTCTTATTCTAGTTTTATGACCTACATTTAAGTATTTATATTTGTATCCTCTGTATGACTGCCCTTGTGCAGCAGAGGATCAATAAAGGCTCATCTATTTAATCTTATTTTAAAGTAGCAGAAAATAGAAATACTCAAGCGTCTTAAAGTACAAGTACCTCAAATTGTACTTAAGTGCAGTAGCCTACTTAATGCATGTAAATGTACTTAGTTACTTGCCCCCACTGACAGAGTAATACACTTCCCTGCAGGTCATGCAGCTCTTCCTGGTTGACCTATATCTACAAGTACACTGGACAGACTGGATTAACTGGTTCTGGTAGCACTGGGTGTCGCTGTATCTCTTGAAACCCCCCTTTAACAAACACAGTACAGGTCATCACGGCTGTGAGTAATCGTGACGTTGGTCTGTCCGTGTCCAGACCCACGTCATGCCGGTCTCCTTCCAGCAATAGAGACACAGCTGCTGCTGACGAGCTAACAAGTAACAGCTTCACTATCGAGACTACAAACGTTTTTATCCGGTCTGGTTATCTGCTCTTCTGACGGTACGTGATATTTATCTCTCTCTGTCATGAATACACTCATATATATATATATATACATTACATTACATATAACGCGTTTATCTCCAGTTTAACCGTTATCGTTAACCAGCTAACGTTAGCTACTACTAGCATTTAAATTGGGCTAGCTTGTGCTAATAGCGGTATTTGGCTTAGCCCAATATTAGATCAATAATAGATATATAGCTTTATTGTCAGGTAGTTATCGATCTGTTATCAGACACTGCAGACTACACAACGCGTGAGGTGTTGTAGCTTGAATGGACCAGAGAGTGACGGTAACATTAGTACAAGTTTATTGATTAGCTAACTAACTAGCTGCTGGAAACGTTCACCACACTAGATAGTGGATCTCTGTCTGTCTGTCTGCCTGCCTCTCTCTCTCTCTCGTCTTTCTGTCTCTCTCTCTGTGTCTCTCTCTCTCATATTTCTCTCTCTCTCCCCCTCCCCCCCCTCTCTCTCTTAATAAGCAGTAAAGCAAACTTTCCTTCCCTTCTCTGCTTTAAAACTCTTAAATCAGACATCCAGATTAATACTTTCAATATGACGAGCAAAATCATTGCAACGAAAGAAGACAGAGACTGGAGCCGGATCAGTCTTCAAATGCTTTGTTCTTTCTTTCTGTGAAAGGAGTGTTGTGCTCCCAATGTTTTCTATGCCACAGTATCCCAATGACAGGGTTTTAGAAACTGGATGAGAAAGATGATATTGTGTAATTGTTTGGCGGGGAAAAGAACTCTTACACACACACACACACAGTATAGTAGCAAGCTTTTTTGGGGGGACTCTGAATGCTTACATGCATGTTAGCAGTTTAAGACCATGCTAACTAACACTGGTAAGGTTTGCATGTTGTGCCTTTCAGATTCAGTGAAAGTTTTTAGCAGGATTGTTGCATCCAGCTTCTCTACTATTGACCACATTAATAATGGGATGATTGATGCCCCCTTTTGTCATGTTCTGCTGGTCCAATCATGAGATCGGGTGTCTCCAGTCATCATATCTGTAGGCTATCCGAGTGAATACAACAGAAACCTCTCCACAGGTGTAAACAGCTCCTGAATCGGCTGTGGTTGAGAGGACCTGAATTGGATATCTGTAGATCCACATTCTGCTCTTTTGCCTGTTCCCAAATCGACCACTTCTGATTTTTTTCAGAAAGATATGTGTTAGAGATGTGATATGGAGCAGCCAGCTGAGAGTCTTCCCGCTTCACTGCTTGGACCAACAAGGTTGGAAAGCTTCTTTTTTTCACTCCACAGGAGGTTGATTTGAAGTTTGCTATCTGAGATCCTGATATGAATGAGGTACTTTGCAGCTTTGCGTAGACGCTCCATTGTGGTTGACTCCCACAGAAAGTATCACATCGCCTTGAGACACTGTTATTGTGAGCTATTATGTGGCTCACAAGTCTGAGCTTGTGGGAGTCAGGTGTGAATAGATTGCAGTGAAATCACTTTGCCTGAAAAGAATGACCGACTGAGGATCGTGTGACTTTCCCTTTTCGTTGTGTCAATGTGAAGAAGACCAGCTTTTTGCAAAGCAAAGTTTCAGGGGAGTGGTCAAAGTATAGTTTTGCACACAGACCACAGCTGTGCGTGGGCCAGAGCAGACAGGAACAGCGGCCTGCAGCCTAACTAACTTTAATGACTACTTACCATGCCATTGCTATGAAAATAGCTCCCTGTTGCACGGCTCAAACATCTGCAGAGACGGAGACATGTTAATAACACATATGTGGCTGTAACTGCCAATAACGCTCAGAAATATTTCACCCTATCCAGATGTAGAACACTCACATACGATTATGTATGTTTTTTGCTTCAGGGTGAACTGAAAACTTGCTCTGTGTGTCTTTGCAGGCTATGATGAGGTGGTGACCCGGGGTCGGCCAGGCCGTGAGATGACTGCAGCTCGGCACGGAGGAAAGACAGGGCAGCACGACTGAGAGAGGAGAAGAAGAAGAATGGGCAGGAGCGCCTGGGGCTGCTGGCAAAGCGTCGTCTCCACTGCAGTGCTCTACGGCTCTTTGGCCCTCTTCATCTCCATCCTCCACAATGTGTTCCTCCTCTACTATGTGGAGACGTTCGTGTCCATCTACAAGATTGATAAGATCTCCTTCTGGGTTGGAGAGGTGAGTGACGAGAGACCTGCGTCAGTTAAAATGTGGGTTCTTGTTATTCTTAGAAGCTTGATATCATGTTCTAGCTTATCAATAAACAATCATCCTTAGATTGTTGATTTTTATTTGGCATTATTGTCCTCTTACCACAGACGGTGTTCCTCATATGGAACAGTGTGAATGATCCTCTCTTTGGCTGGCTGAGCGATCGCTCCTTCCTCAGCTCTCCTCAGTAAGTGTCTCACCGTCTTCCTCCTTTTTTCTCAGACAAATCACTGCATAATATTTCATATAAAACATTGCATGAAATCAACTGCCTACTGTTTCCTAAATTAGACCTGTTGAACTCGGATGTGACTCCAACAGACACGACGCTAACGTGAATATGAAGCCATAATTAGCAGCTAATTGTTAGTGTTTTAGTGCCGTCCCAAAGCAAAGAAAAATGTTTTTGTTGTCAAGCTGAAGATAATTTGGTGTTATTACAGTGAGCGGATACAATAACCTGCTTTAGCCTATCTCCAGTTATGATAAGTTAGTTGTGAGGATGTTTTTTTTTAGTTGCACATCCTCTTTTTTTAGTTTTGTTCTCTTTTTATTGTAAACACACAGCAAAGAGTCAACAAAGAGTTCAGCACATAATTGGTCTACACAGTCAGCATGAATAGTAGTGATTCAGACATCCTCAACATTCATATTTCCACTGCTTTGGTTCCCACACACACGACAAAACACACAGAAATGTTTCAGCGTGAGCTCTTTCATCGGCTGCCGTAACGCTCACAAGGCTCGGCAAACACCTCGTCGGAGCCAGAATCGTCAAACGGAAAGCTGCTATCTGTGTTTGCATTTCATTCTGATTAAGCCTTCTGTGACTGTGCTGTCGTCAGTCACTGTTGACATAAGTCAGCGGTGACAAAACGAAGTTTATCACATTAAAGTTTGTAATATCGGCAACACCTAACCTGATCGGACAGCGAGGGACTTTAAATATTCACCCTTGTATTTGACTTGTGTTTTTCCACTAAGGTCAGGCTCTCAGATCACGACTCCAGAGGTGGTGCTGAAGCGCCTGAAGGCCCTCTCCACAAATGGCCCTCTCTTCGCTCTTTCCTTCCTGGCCTTCTGGGTGGCGTGGGCCCAACCGTGGCTGCAGTTCCTGCTGTGCCTGTGTCTGTACGACGGTTTCCTCTCGATGGTGGACCTCCACCACAGCGCCCTGCTGGCGGACCTCGCCGTGTCCGCCAACGACCGCACGCGCCTCAACTTCCACTGCTCCGTGTTCAGCGCGTTGGGCTCGCTCTCCGTATTCCTGTCCTACTCCTTCTGGGACAAGGAGGATTTATACTCCTTCCGTCTCTTCTGTGTGACCCTGGCAGCCTTTTCCATCTTGGGCTTTTTCTTAGTGTCGCGGTTGCTTCGGCGTCGTTTCCAAAAGGAAGTCTGGTCGAGACAGGATGAGGCTCTGGCACTCAAAGAGTAAGGATTTATCTGAAGATCTGGAGTTTCTCAGGTCAGTGTGGTTGTCTTTCCTCTCCATCTCACTCCTCTCTCTGGTCTTCTTTTGCTGGATCACAGGCTGAGTGTTGGCCATGCTCCAGAAAGCCCCGTCACCATTGGACAGTACCTCAAGCAGCTCTCCAAACACAGGAACTTCCTGTGGTTTGTGTCCATGAACCTGGTTCAGGTACGATATCAATCACATTGGATGTGCTGTGAATGCTGGTAGAGATAAAGTGGGAAGACACTATCACTCTTACGATAAGTGTTTTATTACTCCATCTGCTCTGTTACAAACTCCATTGTTGTGTCTGCTCCCCCTGCAGGTGTTTCACTGCCATTTCAACAGCAACTTCTTCCCTCTTTTTCTGGAACATCTCCTGTCTGACAGTATTACTGCCTCCACAGGTTCAATCCTACTCGGTAAGAGACAGGAAGTGGCATTAAAGTCTTCTTAAATCATGTTTGATAGTGCCAGATACTGCAGTGATTATCACCATTTTTAGATATTTTATACTGGGTCGGAATGGGGAAACACAGATTGAAGGTTTACCATTGCTGCCAGTAATTTGAGTTGCCAATAATTAGACGAATATGTGGATTGATCCAATCTCCCTCCCACATTTACAGACCAGGAAGACCTCAGTAAACCAGCGATGTGTTATTCTAAGATACATCTCCTGAATTGTTAGGAATAGATCATTAATTGTAAATTAATTGTGGCTGAAACATGTTTCTATTTCTATATGATTTGCTATCTGTCTTTTTGTTTACAATTGCTCTGCATTCCACTGGTTTATTTTTTAAATTCCGTTCTGCTTCTGCTCCCACGCAGGCATCTCATACATTGCCCCCCACCTGAACAACTTGTATTTCCTGACACTGTGCCAGCGTTACGGGGTTTACCAGGTTATCCGCTGGCTTTTTATGCTCAAACTGGGACTTAGTGTGGCTATGCTGCTGGCGGGGGCTGACCACATATATCTGCTGTGCATCTTCATCGCTAGGTATGGCCACGCACACACATCAGGGGTCCGATGTGTGACAGCTTGTACTTTTCTTTGCTTGTTTTTGTGAGTTGTTTTTCAAAGCTGAACACACAGCAACACATAGCGTTGTAGAAGAGGACTCTTTTCTGTCGCAGCCTGTTTCCAAGGTTAACTCCAAATATTGAGTTTACTTTTCTTTGTAATGGGAACTTTTGTCCCCGAGGACATAAAAACGTAGCTCCAGTTTGTGCTTCTTTCCCTCAGGAGTCCTTTATTCATGTAGCCCCAAAGTATTTGCCTCAAAAGCATTTTAAATCTGTACACACACCTGATTTGAATAAGGAAAAAGTGCCCTAAAGATTTTGGATGTAGTAAACTCTTTTTAAGGGAAGATATGAGCAAGAGAAGGGATCATTCTTCCAGAAAGGACAGACAAACAATAGATTGGCACACCTTAATTAAATGGAATACACTTAAGTAGAGCATAATAATCTACCCTTGATGAACATCTTTAAAATATACATTTCCTTGATGTTTTTTTTCCACAAACCCTGACTAGAGACTTGTCTTCCTCTAGTAACCGGGTGTTTACAGAGGGGACGTGCAGGCTGCTGAAGCTGGTTATTTCCGATCTGGTGGACGAGGACTTTGTGGTGAATCGGCGTCATCAGGCCACCTCCGCTCTGCTCTTCGGGATGGTCGCCTTGTTGACCAAACCGGGCCAGACGTTCGCCCCGCTCATCGGCACCTGGCTGCTGTGTGTTTACACAGGTACAGACAGAAACACTAGGAAGTGTGTGTAATGACCTTGTTTCTGCATTCATGTGTCTTTATGATAAGTTTATTATAAGCTAAGCCAAGTGGCTTTTCCAGCTGGTTTAGCTGGAATTTTCCAAATTAAGCTTGAATGCTATCGGCAGAAAAGCAAAGCAAATGTAAGGTTATAATCCTAACATTTGCGTACACTGACTGACTGAACTACTTATTTCTCGTCCCTCAGGTTATGATATTTTTGAGAGGGAACCCGTGAAGGACTCTCTGGTCTCCGTGCCTGACGTGGCCTCTGGCTCAGGGACTCCGCCTCTCCGCCTGGGCTGCTTCTACATGGTGGTGTTTGTGCCTATCACCTGTGCCCTGCTGCAGCTGGCCGCCTGGTCTCGCTTCACCCTACACGGCCGCAAGCTGCAAGGGATCAAGGCCCTGAGGCAAGGGGCCCAGCACGGCCACCTCATCGATGTCAAGGCCATATGAGCTGAACGGAGCTGCCGTGAAGCTGCACACAGACACTTTAAAATGGTCGGATTTACAATCTCTCAGCCTTGTGTGCTAGAATATGAACCACTACACAACGTGTGAGAGATGCACAATATTCTGACACGAAAACACAACATTGAGGGGAAAAACATGAAACCTGCCTTATTTTTATATATTACATTATTGACTGATATTTATATTTGAACAAAAGACCAAAAGATAAAGTCAAACCAATCAATAGTTGGACCAAGGTGAGAACTTTTCATGGTGTGCGCCAAAGATGGGGTGCCCTCTTTTAAACAGTTTGTTAAGCATAATTGTGGCCGAGAGAACTGTCTAAACGCGTGGCTGCTGGGTAATTTATCAGTGACATCAGCCAGATGTAAAAAGATGGAGGAGAAGTTTACCACAGAGCTCCAGTTCTGATTTCTAATGTTATTAGCAAGATGAAGAACATGAAATAAACTTGCATTAATGTGTTCAGAGTGCCATTGAAACTGCATGGATTCCACGTCCAACTTTACCGTTTCTTTACATTTACACACGATGGCCTGCCGGTTTGATGTGAAGAACTGTGTTTTTGATCGATGTTTTTGCACAAAACTGCCATTTGTCCGTTGTACTTCTAACATTCTGATTGTGACATATTTTTGTGTACCGTAATAACGAGAAATGGAATCGGTAAATTATGCTGGTAGCCATATTATCCTATCACTTTTGTAATTTTTCAGATAATACAAAGAATGTTTGGCATTACCATAAATAAACCATCTAAAAGTCAACCAAACTCAACCTGTGTTTGACCATTTAGAGTCGTGTGCGCGTGTGCATGACATTTATAGGCCTGCTATGTTTGTATATATTCCAGTGACTTATAAATTGTAATTTGGGGGAAATTGCACACAGAACCACAGGAGGATTGAACAGCTAGAGGTCCGAGGGGCGAAAGGAACTGCTGTGTGATCATTTTAGTAAAAACACATATTTAGAAACATGCTACATGTAAGCACAAAGCTGAGACAATAAAGGTCTGTGGTTCCCAACCACTTGGGCTTTAGGGACGGGACAAAAGCGATAAGTTCACTCACACAGTGATTTTGCTTCTCTGAATGTTTAATTTGAAGGATTTTAGAGGCTAGGAAAGATTAAAAAAAAAAACATCCCCAAAAATAGGCATAAATGAGAGAATACACATAGTAAAAATAAATACGTTCTTCACTGTGACAAAAGTGTAAGAAAACAATAGACTATATATAAAACTTAATCTTGACCATGCAAGGTTACATATATTATTATATTTATGATTGTATTAACGGCTGAAATTCATTATTTAAAAACTAAATGAAAGACTTAGTTTTAACGGGTAATCTAAAGGAACTTCACATAATGTTAGCCTCTCACGACGATTGGGACCAGACTAGATAAAAAGGATTAGGGCCAACTCTTTGTACTGGGATGCTTCCTGTGTGAAGACGGAAGTAGCAGACGGTAGTCCTCTTGTTTTGTCGTTTTACTCCCTGTGTGCGTTTGGTTTCCCCTTTATTCCGTATTGGCGTTATTCCCATTTTTTAATTTCTTGTAAATCGTTTGTGTGATAATTATTTAAATTTTTCTTTGCTAGGTTAAAGGCTAACAAAAACTCTCCAAGTCATTTGTAACCTATGTGTAACATAAGCGCGATCAGCGCAACGCTACCCATCATGCACCGCGCGCAATATTTAACATGTTTTATAAATCAATCGCTTGGATTTAGAAAGAATAAAATAATTAAATTCATTCTGAGATCGTATTTAATCCAACAAGTCTTCAACA